CTCATGCTTACACTCTTATGGTAACCTCCTGCCTTGTTCGCTCTTCCTTTCTGTTTCATCCTTATGTTACCGAGGCAATCTTCCTACATTATTACTTTTATCATGTTGCTCCAATGACAAAATGTTTTTGATTTAAGGCTCCCAGTGGCTATAGGATAAATAACAAATTTCTTAGTCTGACTTTTATGATGTCCCACAGTAAGGCCCTGATATTTATGTTCTATCCCCTTCTACTCCTCTACATCAACCCCATAGTCCTGAGAAACTGAAATCTATACTGTCCTTCAAAGACAACTTGTGCTTCCCTATAATACACCTGTCTTTTTTTTTTTTTTTTTTTTTTTTTTTTCTGCCAGCATCCAATTGTCTTCATCTGGTAGCAAATTTTTCTCTGAGGGAATACCTGACCCACCTTGGATACAATCTTTGTGGATTATCACACAAGGAGGCCAAAGTAGAAATGTGGTCCTAATTAAGCCAAGCTCCCTTTGTCTGGAACTTTCCCTGAGAATGGAGTTACACACGAACTAAACACAAGAATTAGACTTAATTAATTCAGAAAGTGATTCCTGGAATGTTGTTAGTTAGATCCTACTGCCTTAGCATTCTTTGCCTCCTATCCTTTCTAAAGCTTGGTTCTTTGGCTTTTCCTTCAATTATCTGCTCTATCTCATACCCTTCCAATAAATTTTCTCTTTTGTGTATTTAGCCAGAGCAAGTTGCTCTTACCTACTGTTAGGAGTTAAACACTGAGCTTTGGGAGATTGCTGAGCTGCCAGGTGTTGGAGTAGTCGATTAAAACAACAAGTCAAAAATAAGAGTTAAGCTTGTAATCATTTACTGCACAATTATAAGTAAGAGGTCAAAACCCAAGAAAACGAAGTGCTAACTCATCCTGATTTATTTGTCTCCATGAAAAGATGCACCAGTCGAACATCAGGTTGACCAGCACAGACATGGGGGTCATCTCAGTCTAAACAAAAGACTCCTAGAGTTTTATGGACTCTGAGGTAGTTGGGGGTGGCTGGGGTCGGGTGGGCTCGGAGTAGAAAAGTACTGGTTACTGAGTCATAGTGAAATAAAACTTATCTTTAAGATTTCCCCCTCCTCCCTCTATAATGAAGCCTTGACAGAGGAACCTAAAGAAGACCTCTGCCCAAATCTCAGGTAAACACATTTAAGAATGAAGGTTATCAAATACTAGATCTTATTCATTCTATTTAATTGTATTTTTGTACCCAATAACCATCCTGACTTCGCCTCCCAACCCCACTATCCTTCCCAGCCTTTGGCAACCAACGTTCTACTCTCTCTGTCCATTAGTTCAATTTTTAAAATTTTTAGTTCTCACAAATGAGTGAGAAAATGCAAAGTTTGACTTTCTGTGTCTGGTTTGTTTCACTTAACATCATGTACTCCAGTTCCATCCATTTTGTGGCACTGGTGCTATGAATGCAAATATGTGAAGAACATGACTGGCCAGGGGATGCTTTCACTGCAGCTCCCCTCAAAAACATTAGCTAATTGGCTGTGAACTATGTCTGGTGTGGGAAGGGCAGCTTTTCTCCATGAGGCCTGCCAGGTAAAACCTGTAATTGTGTATGGGTGGGCCTGTATAGTCACACAAAAGTTTTTAACCAGGAGTCAATCCCCTAACCTACAATCATATAACCTTCATTGACACATTGCCTTTATTCCTGCCATACTCTCTTCTCCCATTTCTCTTCTTATCTAAGGCCTATTCAACCCCAAGGCTAAATTTACCTTATTTACATAAAGCCTTGTGGACCAGTCCAGGCTACATTTGACCTTTTCTTTCTCTAAAGCCTCATATCACTTATTTTGGACAATCTTTTTGAGAAAATGCTGTCAACTATTGCCTTTATGACAGCTATCAGTTATTTGCTTTTGTTGTCCTACCAACTCCAATATCAGTATCTTTAGGCAGAGCTTTTTATACCTTACACATTACCTACATTTCCTCACAGAATAGTTTATGTAGTAAATGCTAAATACTATTGTGAGAGAGTGGCCTGTAGTGTGTGATTTGAAAGGCACATATCCTAAAATGTCCCCCAAAATATTTATTGAAATGTCTATTATTTTTAAGAAAGTTAATACGTCTACTACCTAAGAAGGTAGCACAGTACCAGTGATTGATTGGTTTCCCCATTATCCATTGGCACTCATCTTAAAATTTATTTTGATGTGAGCAAGGATTAAGAAGGAGAGTAGCAATTATTGAATGACCATCATGTGCCAGAAACCATGCAGACACTTTCCAATACTTATTGATACCTTACAGTAATCCTGAAGCAGACATTTTCTCTATTTTAAATAAGACAGCAACAAAGCACAGAAAAACTAATTGATTTTTAAATGGTCCCACAGACCCTAAACAACATAATTGGTTTTAAATCCAGACGTGTTTGAATACCAAGCCTATAATTACCCATAAAAGGTCTAAAGCATGAGACAATATGGATGCCACTGAGAGGTGTCATGGTGTAATAGGAGATGGATGACTGCTAAAGAACATCCCATAAAAATTTTCCTCTTACAAAATTAAGTTACATTTTGTTCAAAGAAATTAAAGGAGAGCTAAATAAATGGAAAGCATCTTGTGTTCATAGGTTGGAAGCCTAATAGTATTAAGGTGGCAATACTTCCCAGGTTGATCTACAGATTCAATGCAATCCCAGCTTTTTTTGCAGATTTTAATAAGTTGATCCTAAAATTCATATGGAAATTCAAAGGATGCAGAATAAGCAAAACAATCTTGAAAAACTTACCACAAATCTACAGTGGTACTGGTCTAAGTGTAGATATATAGATCAATAAAATAGAATTGAGAATCTGGAAATAAACCCATATTTCTTTCCTTTGTTTTAACTTTTATTTTAGGTTCAGGAGTACATGTACATATTTGTTACTAGAGGCAAACTCGTGTCATGTGGGTTTGATGCACAGACCATTTCGTTACCCAGGTAGTAAGCATAGTATCTGATAGTTATTCTTACCGATCCTCTCCCTCCTCCCATCCTACACCCTCAAGTAGGCACCAGTGTCTGTTGTTCCCATCCTTGTGCCCATTGGTTCTCATTATTTAGCTCCCATTTATAAGCGAGAACATGCGGTATTTGGTTTTCTGTTCCTGCGTTAATTTGCTAAGGATAATGGCCTCCACCTCCATCCCCATGTTCCTGCAAAGGACATGATCTCATTCTTTTTAAAAGCCCATATTTCTATGATCAATTGATTTTTGATAATCGTGTCAAGACCATTCAATGAAAGAAAAATTATGTTTTCAACAAATGGTGCCAAATGGATCTGGGACAACTGGATACTCACATGCAGAAGAATGAACTTGGACAACTACCTTACACCATATACAAAAATTAATTCAAAATCTATCAATTACCTAGATGTAACATCTAAAACTCTACAATTCTTAGAAGAAAACACAGGAGTAAGTCATATGACATTGGCTTAGGCAATAGTCTTGGATATGACATGAAAGCACAAGGAACAAATAAAAAAAATAGCTAAGTGGGGCTTCATCAAAATTATGTTATGTACCAAAACAGATCATCAAGAAAGTGAGAAAATAACCCACCAGAATGGGATAAAGTACTAACAAATATACAACCGATAAGAGATTTATTCTCAGAATATAAGAACTCTTACAACTCAACAGTTATCAAGTGACCTAGGAATTCCACTGCTAAGTTTATATGCAAGAGAAATGAAAACATATGGCCACATAAAAATGTATAAATGAATGTTCATGGCAGCATTATTCATAACAACCTAAAAGTGGAACACAAATGGACAAGAAAACTTGACATATCTGTACAAATGAATAAAATGGAATAATGTACTGATACATGCTATAACCTAGATGAAACTTGAAATCATTATGCTAAATGAAAGAAGCCAGATACAAGATGCTATATATTGTATAATTATATTTCTATGAAATGTCCATAATTGGCAACTTCACAGAGACAAAAAGTAGATTAGTGATTTCCAGGGGCTAAGGGAGGGGAGAATGGAGTTTGATTCTTTGATGAGTACAGGGTTTTTCCTTAGGATAACAAAAAACGTAACACCCAGATAATACAACTCTAAATTGTTTTCTTAAGTGTTAAATCCTCTTTCTTATCCATTTTCAATCTATTATATAAAATAAAAGACAGAGAGAGGGGAAAGTTTCAGATTTTTTGGTCTTTGGGTATACTTTTAATTATTTAATAAATTACTAGTCAATACAATTAATCACATTTCACTATAGAATAGTAAAGAAAATCCTGAGTATTGTCACTGCATTTTACAAAAAGAACAAAGCATATTTTTCCTATTTTATAGATGAAGAAATTGAGTTACAGAAAGACAAACGGATTTGTTGAAGGTCATATGTAACTGATACAGATTTTGATTTGAGGTCTAATCAAACCTGTTTCCTGACTCTTAACACCTGTCTTTTTATCCACTGCAATACTTAGTCTCTCAATCAAAAGAGATTAATTTCATAATAAGAAAGAGAACCACACGTTTTTGTTAATAAGTTACAGATATGCAAATATAGCAGAAATACTAAAGTATTTATTTTATCACAGGGTTTGAAAGTATACTCAAAAAGAACCCCCCACCCCAAATTGGGGGGAAAAGGCTCAAAACTGGCAGGTTCTCATTGTATAGCCAGAGTACACTTTACTGAAGGATTGCTGATTATCTCTGCTCCCATTCAGAATAGCTCTTTGTTATAGTTCTAAGCAATTAGAATTTACTACCATCCTCATTGATATGATTTTAAAAGTACCCACAAATATATTTATACTGATCTAATTCCTTGCATTTTTTGATCCTTTTCTTTGTTGAAATGAATCCTCTGGAAGTATACAAATGTAAATGAAAAATTCGTAACTTACCAACAGTAAAATAAATATCAAAAGGAAGGGGAAAAGGATAACTGTAAGAAAAAGGCAAAGGCGGCCCCTCAGGCCGGGGCGTGACCGCTGAGCCGCAGTTCCCGGGCCAGCCTGGGGCAGCCGGGCAGGAACCACCCGTTGAGGTGTCTTCTCTTTAGGGATGGTGAGGTTGGCAAAAGGCTCCTGTAACCCTCCTCCAGGATGAACCATCTGGCAGAAGACATGGAGAACGCTCTCACCGGGAACCAGAACTCCCATGCTTCTCTGCGCAACGTCCATTCCATCAACCCCACACAACTAATGGCCAGGATTGAGTCCTATGAAGGAAGGGAAAAGAAAGGCATATCTGATGTCAGGAGGACTTTCTGTTTGTGTGTCACCTTTGACCTCTTATTTGTAACGTTACTGTGGATAATAGAGTTAAATGTGAATGGAGGCATTGAGAACACATTAGAGAAGGAGGTGATGCAGTATGACTACTATTCTTCGTATTTTGATATATTTCTTTTGGCAGTTTTTCGATTTAAAGGGTTAATACTTGCATGTGCTGTGTGCAGATTGCGCCATTGGTGGGCAATAGCGTTGACAACGGCAGTGACCAGTGCCTTTTTACTAGCAAACGTGATCCTTTCAAAGCTTTTCTCTCAAGGGGCTTTTGGCTGCCCATCATTTCATTCACCCTTGCCTGGATTGAGACGTGGTTCCTGGATTTAAAAGTGTTACCTCAAGAAGCGGAAGAAAACAGACTCCTGATAGTTCAGAGAAGGCAGCACTTATACCTAGTGGTCTTTCTGATGGTCAGTTTTATTCCCCTCCTGAATCTGAAGCAGGATCTGAAGAAGCTGAAGAAAAACAGGACAGGGAGAAACCACTTTTAGAACTGTGAGTACTACTTTTGTTAAATGTGAAAAACCCTCACAGAAAGTCATCGAGGCAAAAAGAGGCCGGCAATCGAGTCTCCCTGTTGACAGTAAAGTTGAAATGGTGACGTCCACTGCTGGCTTTATTGAACAGCTAATAAAGATTTATGTATTGTAATACCTCACAGACATTGTACCATATCCATGCACATTTAGTCACCTGCCTGTGGCCGGTAAGGTAATGTCATGATTCATCCTCTCTTCAGTGAGACTGAGTCTGATGTGTTAACAAATAGGTGAAGAAAGTCTTGTGCTGTATTCCTAATCAAAAGACTTAATATATTGAAATAACACTTTTTTAGTAAGCAAGATACCCTTTTATTTCAGTTCACAGAATGGAATTTTTTTGTTTCATGTCTCAGATTTATTTTGCATTTCTTTTTTAACACCCTACATTTCTCTTGTGTTTTTTAACTCATGCACATGTGCTCTTTGTACAGTTTTAAAAAGTGTAATAAAATCCAACATGTCGATGTGAAAAAAAAAAAAAAAAAGGCAAAGGCATTCTTACGAAAGTTAAAACATTTGCCAAAATGGTGAAATGTTCTTTTAGAGTACAATGTAAGTAATATATTCAAGTAGCTTTCAGGGAGCAGAAAATCTAGCTGTGTCCCTTGATTTAAAGAATTGTAGCTATATTATTTTATATTAGAAGTGTGGTGGCTAGGACTGCCTCCTATCTTTCAAAGCTATGAAGTCTATGTTTAAGGGCAATGGAATGACTAATCTCATTTAGATAGGCACAAAGATGCCTGCCAATCAGTGACCCAAGCTTTTCTGTAGAACCAATATGATTGGAGAAACGAACCTCTTTCACTTTAGGCTGCATTAAGAACCAGAGGCAAATATGGAACTATTAAATGTATAAATGAATTTAGACAAAATTTCTTTCCCTTGTTTTAACTTTTATTTTAGGTTCAAGAGTACATGTACATATTTGTTATTAGAGGCAAACTCGCGTCTTGTGGGTTTGATGCACAGACCATTTCGTCACCCAGGTACTAAGCACGGTATCTGATAGTATACCTAAAGTTCAAAAATATCTGAAACTTCCCCTGTCTGTCTCTCAATCAAAAGAGATTAATTTCATAGTAAGAAAGATAACCACACGTTTTTGTTAATAAGTTACAGATATGCAAATACAGCAGAAATACTAAAATTATAAAATAATTAAAATATATTAGACCAAATTGGTTTAGTATATTCACAGTGTGGTGTAACCACAGCATTTTCCATAATTTGAAATTGAAGTGTCCATTTTGTATTAGTGAATTTTATGGTATGTGAATTATGTCTCAATGAAACCATTAAAAATGCATTATTTGCGTTAATAACCTTATTTGCGTTAATAACCTTATTTGCGTTAATAAGGAGGTACCAATTTTCTAGTTATTTTTTGCCTTTTTGATTTTTGGATCAAGGGGACATGTTAGCACTTTAACAAAAGAAAAACGATAAAGTAGATGAAAATCAACGAATATTTCTGCTGTATCCAGTAGTTTTGAACCAACATAGATTAAATCATGGTATCCAGGAAGAATGTTTTTAGAGACCCACTGCCTATTGGGGAACTTTTCATTTGTCACTGATATGATGGAATGATTTCAAGAAATGACAAAAGATTAAAACCAAAACCATATGCCCTTCATTTATTGAAAATGGTATGTTGTAAGAGAGCCAGATTGCTAGCTCTCTACCTTCTAGTGGTTAGGCCTTATAATTCAAGCATCTACATTACATAGAAGCAGAGCTAGAGCTAACCTACTTGGGACTCTTTCGTTGACTACATTGGTTGCTTTCTATGAGAATTCATCAACAAAAGCCAAAACCATCCTTGATTTGACCAATTTCTATATATGTTTAAAAAGTGTGGAACTGGAATTTATTCATTTAACATTTATTTATTTATTGTGTGTTTACCATGTGCCTGTCACTTAAAAAGTTATTTGGTATAAAAATATGAATAACACACAGTTTATGCCCTTGTGGAGTTTCTATTTTGGTGAATAACATAACTGCCATGTACTCATCACCTACTTTTATGGTCAAAGCTGTCTTAGACATATTACATACATAATTTCATTAAATTATTACAACATTGAAAGGAGAATATAATTCCCTGCCCGCTTAAAAAGTATATAAACTGAGGCACAAAGAGATTAAGTCAACAAATTGGAGAGAGGTGATATGAAACCAAGAATTTTGGCTCCACATGTCACAAGTTTTCACACAGAATCAATCTCAAAACAAAAGACCACATAGAGATTTATATCTAAAAAGTCTGAAATTTTGGTTAAGCAGTCACTCATACTATTTCTAAAAATATTTGCAACTCTGCCCAAAAACTAGTATACTAATTTTGTTTACATTGAAATTTAGCCATCAAAATAGAGAAGACCTTTCCCTCTTCTGTTAGCCCATCCCACATGGACCAAGAAACTATCAGTAATTTTCTTTTTCACTGAGGCTAAATTTTTGCTACTGAGCTAATGCAATTTTTCTGTTCAATGCATTGAGAACTTGACTGCTGTGAGCTAAAAATTCAGAAAAACAAGTGAAACAAATACACTGTCATTAAGAATTTAGTCCTATCATCTTTGGGTATATTGCATATATTTCCTCTTCATTTTTGAAAATCCACTTTTAATAATCGAAAACCCAATTTTCCCATCTCCTCTAAAATGAAGCTTTTATGGATGAATCTCAATCGTACTAAATATAGCACCATGAAAGGTCCATCATTTGCACTGCTGTTTAATACTTCATCAATTAGCAGTTATTTTTAAGATTGGTTACTTATTCGTTATTCAGTATACTTCCCATTTCCCTTCACATTAATGAGCTGAGATAGTACCATGTAGATTTTTCATTTATTGGTTGATTTTGAACTGTGTGCAAGAAAGAAAAAGGAGAAAAGCCAAACAAGAGTTTTAACAAGCTCTTTTCTCTCTTCATAAACCTGATTAAACTACTAATGTTGGAATAAAAGAACAGAAAAAGTCTCTGGGAAATCTAGTTCACAGTTAAGTGGAAATCATTGCTTATTTTTCATGAGGATGTTCTGAAACATCTTTTCCAGCACATGAAAGAACCCCTTTGGCCTCCCTCTCTTTGATCAGGTTTAGGAGTTTTATAACTCCAAAGCAACCGTACTTTAACTTCTTTCTACCAGGCTTATCCTTTCTTCCCTGGCCTATTTTATCCTTTTATAGGTCAACACTTAACCTATCAAATAAAATTATTCCAACCCTTAGCCTTTCAATAAAGAAGGGTCTAGGTGTTTTATGTGCTTTTCCTCAATCCCTTCAGTCTCACCATACATTTTGTAGCAGCCAACTGTAGTATATTAAATTGTGGGTTAATCATAAAAAGTACTGTCTATTGAATGTTTAAATGACTTATGTTTTCTACATAAAAAAACCAATAACATTGTATTTCAGTTTTTTACTAAGGTAATTAAGGGTATTTATAAGGTCTGATCAAAACACCTACTTTAACTCAGTTAATTTATATTTGAGTCTAAAGGACTATATCTGAAAAAGTTTACATTGTATTACCCAAAGTACCAACAGTTAAAGGGACTAATTTTGTAGATGGTCCAGTAATACCAAGGAGGATTTTTCAATGAGGCAAAAGTTTGAGCATGGGCTGATGGAAAAATAAGATGTCAAATAATAATCAAATTAATAGATAATTTATAACAGATCAGTAATGAAGATATCAACACATCTCTATCTGTCAGTTTCCCAGATGTATTATATATCCCTACAACTTTGGCATTGTATTATTTGTTTATTTGTCTGCCTCTCTCACTAGACAATAAATTTCATGAGGGGCTGCATTTGATTTCTGTATTCACAGTACACAGTAAAATCTGTGTGTGTGTGTGTGTGTGTGTGTTTGTGTGCGTGTATCACAGTAAAAGTTCAATAAGCATTAACTGTATGAAAAAATAGAAAGCTCATTGATGTAAAGGGAAATGGGAGGCACACTGAATAATAAGTAACCAATCTTAAAAATAACTCTTGAAACAGCAATGGAAATGATAAACCTTTCATGGTGCTATATTTAGTATAGCTAACACTGTTTCCTTACTAACAGCTCACTAATTCTGATCTTATAAATGTAATTTTCTTAAGTGATAATAAGTAGATTAAAAATAAATGACTTAAAAGACCAGGATTACACCCCGTGATTCTAGCCAGAGGCATGGTGATTACAAGCAATCAACAGTGAGAGTGGAGTTGAAAAAAATAATTAGGTTTCTAACCATGATAGAGTAACTGGTATTAGATTTGCCTCCCCATCGTAAGCAACCATAAAACTGTACAAAATATATAAAGAAACAGTTCACAGACTTTGAAAAACAGAAAGCTCTCTGCTTGAGGACAATATCTCAAGCATGTTGCAGAGGACTGGAATCGAGCAGGACATAGAAATTTCATTGAACTGAGGAAGTAGAAGTGAGAGTTCAGGGAAGCTGAAATGGCTGCAGTCTGCAGGAAAGAATACTGAAGAGAAAGGAGCTGCACATAGAGAAGGCACCCAAAACTCTGAGGAAATGTACTGCATGGTTTCTTGGCTAACCTCTGCAAGTGTTGGGTAAGAGTGCATGATGTTTACTAGAGAGAAGCCACTATGAGTTTGAGAAAGGAAGAGAGTCTAGAGGTCAATCAGCACTGGGAAATATTAAGTCTGACCTAGCCAGAGTATAAAGTTCTCATTAACACATAGATAACACCCAACTGAGACACTAGAAAAGATGTGCCTTAAGATTAAGAACCACAATATGGCTGACTCTAGATCTACCTTAATGAAGGCTAAAACCAAACCCTGACAAAATTTTCAAGGGATACAAAGTTTGGAAATCGGGTTTCATTAAGTAGGAGGATCTGGGAAAACACTGGAATTTCCATAGATCTTACCTACCAAAATGTAAACCTAATCTAACCCAAGTTGAAGATGATTGGCTAGTAATTAAGAAGAAATAAACACTTTCCAAATAAAGATTACACAATCTAAAGTGTTTAAAATATACCATCAACAATGTCAAGTACAATTTTAAAACAATAGTACACATGCAAAAAAATAGGAAAATGTGACACATAGTCAAGTGAAAATAAAAGTTTATAGAAACTGACCCATTGGTGATCCAGACTTTGGATTTGGAAAACGAAGACTTTAAAGCAGCTATTATAAAAATGTTCAAAGAACTAAAGGAAAATGTGTTAAAATAATTAAAGGAATACATGATTTTAATGAGTCAAGAGATAAGGAATATTAACAGTAAAAGTGAAAATGGAAAAAATGGAATTTCTAGGAGTGAAAAGTACAATAACTGAAATAAATAATTCACTACATGGGCTTAACATCAGATTTCAGATTTCAGATTGCAGACTAACAAGCTGGTAATCTTGAAGATGGAACAATAGATATTCTATCTAAAAAGATGAAGACTAAAGATAGGTAAA